AACAAGTTCTAAGGTTGCTCTTAGTTTTTCAATTTTAACTTATTTTTATAATTTGACTAAAGAATAATGTTATCACCAACCAAACAAGCCTCAAGGGTCTTTCCTTTGCGGCTGGCAACTGGCACTAGTGTTTAAGTTGGTCCTTGGGAAATCTGACCTCAAGGTGCAAAGTTTCCCTTCTGCCATCTCTAGTTAGGAACAGCAAGTGAGCAAACAAATAGTACTGCAAAACTATAAAAAAAGAAAAAAAAGAATGATTGGAATAAAAGTAACTTCTTCTAATTCAATTAAATTGTTTACTTAATAAATTTAAGTGTTTTAATTTAGTTATTATACTTTTTATTTACATGGGACATTCAATGTTATTATTTTAACTTTTTATTTTTTACTCTTTATTTTGAAGTATGCAATAAAATAAAACTCTTTGTTATTCCTCAACTTACATCATTATCATGTTATGTGATTTAAATTTAAAATTTTTTATTTTTATTAAAAAATTACTACTAAATTGTTAAATTTTTATTTTAACTTTATATCTATCATTCTAGACTACTTATAAAGATGATAAAATTTTTATTAAAAATATTTTTTATAATTCAAACTAGTTAAATAAAATAGATAAATTATATAACATCATATCATAATATTGTCCAAAGTATGTCCAGTTTCAAAACGCAAATGTTTGATTGAGTTCAAACTGCCAAAAAAAAAAAGAAAACTGTTTGTGTTTTTTTTTTACAAAAAAAAATGATTAAATTAAGTGTTAATATTTGTTACTTTATAAGAGAGTTAAATCTTAAAATTTGATATATTTCACCTACTATCTAATAAACAGCGTGACCACTACTGATTCACACGGAAAATTGCAAACTATTTGTGCTTTCTTTCTTTAAAGAGAGCGCACAATTTTTAATCGACGGCTAGGGAGCGGGAGGAGGTTGGGTTGGGTTCAAACCCAGCCCTCTTTTTTTTACAATCCCACTAGTTTCTCAACAGCAGCCTGAAGAGAAAAAGTTAACTAAAGTACTTTTCTTTGTGTGTACTGGAGTTTTCTTCCTTTTGTTTCAATTTGAACTGTTTTATATTATAAAAAAAATATTGAATAAAAAGAGTAACTTTTATGTAAGGAGGTTCACCCTCCTACTTTTATATTGTATGGTCTGTTATTATTTTTTTTTTTTTTGGTATAAATCATTCGGTATCTAAAAATTCATTGGATCACTGATTAATCCGAATTTGAGTCGGGTAAGACTCAACGTGCGACAAAACTCTCCCTCATGAGTTTTAACGGAGCTGCATTCTCAGGACTTAAACTCAAGACCTGTGATTAAGCTGCAATAGTTTCAGCCAACTCATCCACCCACTCATGAGTTTGTATGGTCTGTTATAGCAGAATGAAAAACACCTTTTTTTATTACTCAGAAGTAAATAACTTTGCTCCTAACATACTGAGTAAAAATTCAAGGCATGCTCTTCATCTTATTGGCTATGAAACTTTTAGTTCTTTACTTTATAATTTAAAAATTTTAGTTTTTTATATTTTTAATTTAAATAAAAAAACTCAAAATAAACGTTTAACAATCACATGCTTATTAGGATTCATTACTCTTTACCTTGTTAGTACCATAATGTACAACTCCTTGCCATTTGAACTGCCAATTTGAATAATAAAAGTGAAAAACCTCTTACTCACTTTAAAAGAAATTATAATTGTCTAAAATTAAAAATAAAAATATTTTTGATCTACCTTAAAGTGAGTTGAAGATTTCTCACTTTTATTGTCTACATTAGCAATCTAAGATAACAAGAAATTGTACATTATGATACTAACATAGCAAAAAATTATGAAACCCTAATAAGCACGTAATGCACGTGACCATTAATCGTCCATTTTGGGCTTCTTTGTTTATAACGAAAAGATGAGGGTTAAGATCTTCAAGTTGTAAGGGGAGAAGTTGAAAGTTTCATATAAGGTGGGGGGCTGGTCATGAATTTTCGCCACAGATTGATGGGCTTCAACTTCAAGAGCCCAAACTTTAAGACGGAATCTTATAAATATCCAATCCTGAATGAATTTTCCCTTCACCTCGGTTCTTCCTCCCTCAGAATTCAGAAGCATCTAGAATTAGGGTTAGGGTTTTACACTTTCCGTCGAAATCAAGATGCTTACCATCGATCCCACCAAGAAACGTAAGCTCGACGAGAACGGCGTCTCGGTGGTGCTACCAGAGCTGGATCCAATCACGGGGCTCACTCCACAGGATGTGCGCAAGCTTATCGAACGCTTCACCACCGACCAACTCCTTGGCATTCTCCAGGACGCAGCTGCCCGCCACTTGGATGTCCTGAACGCCGTTCGTTCAATCGCCGACCAGGATCTCACCCAGCGTAAGCTCTTCATCCGTGGCCTCGGCTGGGATACCACGACAGACGGCCTCCGCACACTTTTCTCAGCCTACGGAGAACTTGAGGAAGCGGTTGTGATTCTCGACAAGACGACTGGCAAGTCTAAGGGATATGGTTTTGTTACGTTTAAACACGTTGATGGTGCTTTGCTTGCCCTGAAAGAGCCCAGCAAAAAGATCGACGGACGTGTAACTGTTACTCAACTCGCGGCAGCGGGAAATACGGGGATGACCACAAACCCAGTAGATATTCATTTGAGGAAAATTTATGTGGGTAGTGTTCCCATTGATATGCCTGCAGATAAATTGCTAAGTCATTTTGCACAGTATGGAGAAATTGAGGAGGGTCCTTTGGGTTTTGATAAGTTGACTGGGAAATCAAAGGGCTTTGCGCTTTTTGTATTTAAGACCATGGGAGGAGCGCAAGAAGCGTTGAGGGAACCGGTAAAGAATATTGATGGAATTCAGATGAATTGTAAGCTGGCAATTGACGGGAAGAAAGGGAAGCCAGGCGGGCCAGGATTGGATGGAGTGCAGGGAGGCGGTCTGGGGAGTGGAGATGGGATGGGGGGCCCGCCTGGTCCTGGGGCTTATGGGGGAGCAGGTGGTCATGGTGGGTTGGGGGGTTATGGTGGGTTTTCGGGTGCATTGCAGGGTCCGCCGCCATTAGGTCCTCACCATTTGAATTCAGCCCCTGTAGTGGCATCTTCTTTAGGTGCCGCTACCGGTTCTGGGGGTTATGGATCTGGGTTTGGTCCGCTTGGAGGATCTTATGGAGGGTACGGAGGACCAGGCTCAACAGGGTATGGTGGTTTGACTGGTGCTGGGGGTGGTGGATTGAGTGGTGCAGGGGGTGGGATTGGTGGTGCCGGTGGTGGATTGAATGGTTCCGGTGTTGGGTCCTCTTTGTACAGCAGGATGCCCCCTAGTTCTGTTGGTATGCCATCTGGTGGGTATCCAGAAGGTGCACGCTACAATTCAACCTTTCCGGGTCCGCAACACCAAGGAACAGGGGCATCGCCTTTGCCAAGGGTTGCACCTGGAGGATTGTATCCCAATGCTCCTTACTACTGAGGTAAGTTCTCAATTTCACGTCCTGATATATTTAGTCTGTTAACTGTTAGTGTAAAGTTGGAATGACTACATGCTTTTGCTTGTGTTAGCATGTGTGCTTTATTGTGGATGTTTGTTCATTATAATTAATTGTTGAAACTTTATCTGTTTGTCTTCCTTCACTGCCACTGTTGTATTGTATGTGTCTGTATGTATTGTAGGGATTAGTAATTATAAAGAGTGAATTTGCAGTTTGCATTTCAGTTACTTGATATAGGGCCATAAATTATACTGTCTGTTTCTAAATTTTGTTAGTTGATATTTGCATTATAATCAACCAGCAAATTGGTATGTATCGTAGGCATTGGTCAATGTAACAATAGTAATTTTAAATGTCAGATTATTCTATTAGTCAGTGACCTTTGAACATTATAAAAGGATCCATTTACTAAAGCCTTTCCTACCTTATGTAAGAGCTTTATTGGGCTTCTTTGTTATAATTTTCAAACATTGTAACCCATGCTGATCTTTGCTGCAATCTTTTTTTCCTAAAAATAAATTTTCAGTGGATGTTGGTTTTGTCAGTATTTGAATTTAAGACATTGGTATCATTGTCTAAAACTTTTATCTTAGCGGTTAGTTTTTGGTTTTGCCTTTGTTTGGCATTGACTTGGGATGAACAAGTATTCTCAAAAGTTCTTAAAACTGAAAGATCTTCTTGCTTGTCTCTGTGTGTGTCTGTGTGTGTGCGCGCGCGTGTGCATGTGTGTGTGTACTGTCTATGTCCTTTTCTTGTGTCTTTACTTTTTCTTCATCTCCTTTTCTGATCCTCCTTCATGGTGTAGGGGGCTGGTGGGACAAATTATTACGCTATCTTGTTCTGTGCATCATCTTGTTCAATTCAGTTCTAATAGGGATTTATAAAGCGTCGTATTAGTGTGGAATTGTGAGGATATCATTTTCTAAGGGAGATGTAATAAAATTGGACTAGATAAATCATAAATTACCATCTTGATTGCCATTTTTTAGAGACTATTATATGTCATTTGTTTGTGAATATGTCTCTTGTTAGTGCCTGTTGTCCCTGTTAAAGGTTGAAATTTATGGATTGTTGCATGTTCATATTTTTTTTGTTTGTGTATCTTTGTTATTTTTTCTTTCTTTCTTGGATTTTCATTAATTGGCGAAAAACAGAAGTTTATTTTCAGTCTATTCTCTCTTTTCTTTAATCAGGGTTTAACTAACTGGTGCATTCTGCCTTGCTTGATTAACATGCAAACATTCTGACATTCTGTCTTGGTAGATGTCTGGACTTGATATCAGAGCTTTGTCATTGGTCCTACTTAAGAGTTGTTTGGTTATTGTTGATTGGCTTTGGGCATCTTCTGGTAATAACATGGGCTAAATATTTTATAAGGTTAGCTATATACTTTGTTTAAAATGATACTTAAGGTTGTAGTTAATAGAGGGTGTCATGCCCTGTTCTTTTTTGAGGAAAAGCTTAATGTAGTTCTCACGATAATTGGTGCTTTTGTTGTTTTTGGCTCATTGGTATTTGAATTACTGCTTGTATTGTTTGATTTGCTTGTCTGCTTGTTATCTTGATTTGCTTTAGGTGCCTAATTGGTCTGTTGAATTTAGTGCATATTGGTTTTGTTTCACTAGTTTGACCTTATTTCTTAATTCAAATTAGCATTGACTTTTCTTTTGCTTGATGTAGAGTGATCAATTGAATTATGGATGGGTGTGTCATTCAGGTGTATGACAGCTTATTGGACGCAGATGCTTTTTGTGGTTCTCATGATTGCGTGATTGCAGACTATATAAAATCTGGCTTGATGAATATGTTAGCTGTGCTTTTACAGCTACTTCTGTTGATCTGCTCCTTTAAGATGTGGTTCATTTCTAGGAGCTAGTTGTTACAACTGCTGATCTAGGCTAGTCTTTGTATCTTTCTTGGAAAACAGTTTTCCAGTTTGAATTTAATTTTTACTAGTAGTTTTGATCATATAATTAGCAAGTGAAATGCTTTAGCTATTTTGCTCATGTGTATAGTTGTTGTATTTGCTTACTTTCTTGATCTTGTTATTCATACGGAGCCTGCTAAATAATGACCTCTAAAGCTATGGACAATATCTCTATCTTTTGGTATGAAGTTTATGTGCGTGTGTTATGTTTTTATATTTCTTTATTTTGTCATAAGTTTAGAGCACAATTGCTGCAAAAGAAACTGTCAAGGAAAACTGTAACCTTTCTCTTTAAAGTAAATGATGCTTGGATCTTGTTCTGCACCCAGTTGAAGAAAGGTTCTGTTTGAAATAGTGCTCTCACAAAAATTTAACAGCGTATTGCCATATCTGGTTCTGGATTTTTGTTTCAAGTTGTCATCCCTATATGGTTTCAGGTTTTCTGCGTTAATATGGTTGTGCCATTCTTTAGCAACAAGATACCCATGTTAGCATTGTTTTTTAGTCTTTCAATAGAGAATTGCTTGTTTATTTTTATGTTTGTGGATGGCATTGTTGGTCGAATCTTATGGTTTACATGCACAATGGACTTTTGGATTTGTTCTACTGAGTTTGGGGTCTTTCTGGGTTCAGCACAAGATTGGTTGAGAGGCTAGAATTATGCTTTCCCTTCCTTTTGGCTTTGCCAGCAAGTGATGACAGGATCTTTGTATATCGTACCAAATGTTTCTGTCCTGTACAATCTGCTTCTGGAAAGAACAATAATTGACGTGTGCTTGTTTTACTCTTACTGAATACGACATTTTGGTTGTAAATAATGTGAGTGGTGTCCCTTAAGAATCATTGATGTTAGTGAAATAACATCTCAATGAATTGTTTTATTGGTATACGACGTTGGTAAACTTTTGTGAAATGATAAAATTAGACTTTTTTCCTGGGTTTTGCTTATTTTAACTAATTGATATGAGACTGAAGCAGCATTTTCTTGCATTTATTTATTTTTTATATGAAGAAAGCGGCCGTAATATGGATTACAACTGGAATCAAATTCTTTGTATTTCAGTTTGCTTTATAGACTTGTCAAAGTCGGTTTAGGGAATATTTATCTGACTTCCCCACCTTCTGTGGTGAAGTATGTTGGATCGTTAAGATTTAAGAATCTTTATTGTTCTGTACATGTAGTGTTCGCATTCGGGGATATTTCTAGTTTTATTTTGGGGAATGTGTCCCTCTCCATTATTGTCCTAACTGTCATAACCGTCTTCTTTTTTTTATTTTTTTTTTCCCTCCTTTTCCTGTCTCTGCATTGCTGTTGATGAGCATGAGAGGAGACGACCAAACCCCAATATCACAAGCAAGATAGAAGATGCCCATTCCAGACACTCAAGAGTGGAGGGGGGCAGAAATGAAGGCTTACTGATACCTGTCTGTGGAACTGACAATTGTACGACTTTAAATTTTGTACTTTGTGACATTCTTTTTATGACTTTTGACTTCTTTTTTTTTTACTGGCTTTTATTCTAATTAATTAAGGTTTTTTTTAATATAGAAAATGATGGTTATAATATCGTAGGAAATTTTTTAAATTTATAATATGAAGTGTGTTATGCTATAATTGAGTTTTTTTATTTAAGATATGTTTGAGTTGAGAAAAAAAAGAGTTTTTTATTATTTAAATTACAATGCCTATATTAGAGTATTATTGATTAATAAAAAAAATTGGGAAAAGTTCCTGTCAGCCTTACCTCCTAAAGATTAGGAGGAAAATCATCCTAAAACTACGTCGTTTCAATAACTTTTTATTGAAAAAGACTAAACTACCCTATTTTTAAAGCACCCCTAAAGGTGATATTTGTCCTTTTTCCTCCTAATTTTTGGGAGGTAAGGCGGACAAGCACTAACCCCAAAAAAATTTTCCTTTTTATTTTTTTAAATGAATTATATTTTCGAAGATAAATAAAACGCAGTCATTAATTAGTGGTAATTATATATTCTTTTAAAAACGTTGTTTATAGGCATGAAGGGATTACGGGTTTTATTTATTTATTTATTTATTTATTTATGTTTATGGGAGAGAACAAGTGGCTCAAACTAAGGGTTCACTATTTTTAATCCAAGACGGTGGGTGAGAAACCTTTTGGGTTACAAACTTGGGCCTTTTGAGCTATAGGATTTCTCCGATTGTATGGGAAATCCTTCAAGAAGTTATGTAAGGGCATCCTGTATCGCTAAATAGAGCTCCTACTCTGCATAGATTAGGTATACAAGCATTCCAACCTATTTAAATGGAAGGACACGCTATTTGTTTACATCCATTAGTTTGTAAAGGGTTCAATGCAGACTTTGATGGGGATCAAATGGCTATTCATTGTACCTTTATCTTTAGAGGCCCGGGTGGACGCTTGTTTACTTATGTTTTCTCATATGAATCTCGTCTCCAGCTATTGGAGATCCCATTTCCGTGCCCCATGTACTACTAAAGTTCATTCCTAACACGGATACTTTAAATGTTTAGTAAGTTACTCCTGAAATTTAAAAGCATTCAAACCATTTAACACATGTTAAATGTAGATTTATTAGAATAAGTGAAGAATTCGACTAACATACGAAAGAAGGATAGGCAGAAAATTTATGGTACGTCAGCATTGATGATCTTTTTTTTTTTAATTTATTTATTTATTTATCTTGGTTGCACAATAGGAGACAACCATTTCTCATTCCTTATCCCACCCCATCTGCATGTCATACGACTCGAATTCAGAACCTTTTATTTTTAGCGAAAGAAGATAATCACTGATCAACTTAGGTTGTTGACCAGTATTGAAGATCTTCATGAGAGTAATTCCCTGAAAAAATTTTCTTTCTCCTCAGGAATTCATGGATTGCACCAACCAAGACATTGCCTCAAATTGGTTCTCTACACTGAATCTATGAACATCAATCTTTTGCTCCTTAAGATGTCCAACAGCTTCAGTGGATCAAAACTAAGACACAAAAAAGACATTTCAAATGCCTTGAAACCATATGAAACTGTTTCCCCAAAAATCCTCTAGTGACCTCGCACGTGTGAATCTAAATGCGAGCGTGCCACTTACTTTGCTGAAAGTAGGAAATGATGACTTTCCCAATGACTCTCTTTTTCCTCACGGTCGACCTCCTTACAGATGGTGAGAAGAACGTTGGATTAAAATTGAAATTTGCGCTTACAGATGATTTGCAAGAGGGAGAGATACCTTCCTACAGAATGGGTTACGAAATTTACCTAGGACAACTCCAAGGACTTAAACACTACTATGACTTAAAATTAACAAATCCTAATTAACCTAAATAGCATATAATTTAAAGTAAACTTACAAGAAAAAACTGTACTTGAATTAAATTAAACATATTCATTGCCAAATTAAAATGATATTTACTGATAGATCTGAAAATTAAAAATTAAACTATTACAGAATTCAAGAATTAAATCTAATTATCATTAAAATTAAACATAAACAGTGAATATATTAATATGCTTGAAATTAAGAAAAAATATGTACGTCATATAAGTAATCATTAAAAAAATACCATTTATCATAAATATTAAATTAATTACAGAAAAAAAAAAAACAATATCTTGAATAAACTTGAAATATTGAAATTCATTGTATGAAACGAAATTGTTAAAGCAAATACATGAATTAATCTATCTACTGAAATGATAAAAAACAACCTAAATCTAGTGAAAATTATGTTGAAATCCAAAATCTAGAAACAATTGCAAAACAAATAAAATCTGAAGATGTTTAAGCCGTGTCTTCTCCCATCCAAAATTTTCTTTTTTGTTCTCCTTTTGCCAGCTGTAACCTACTTTTTGTAGTTACAACATTGTAGGTGATTTCCTAAAGTAATGAAACAACTCAACAATTGACTTGATTAGAACTCCCTTCGAATTTTAGTCACCACTCTTATAAAAGATAAAACCCTCCTTTTAACTACAATCATCTTATATTTTAACTCAAATAATCCTTTTTTACCTAAAAAAATAATTACAAAGCAAAATCTCATCTTTTTCTCTTCTTTTTTGCCAAAATGACAACTAATCTATCATGAAACCCTCTTCTTTTTTGCCAAAATGACAACTAATCTGTTATGAAACCCATAAACACAAACCTGACATGACTTGATCTTCTACATCCATTAAAAAAAAAATTACACCTGACATTATCTTAAAATTTTACAATTTATGGTGTAAACAGAAACCAAACGCACCCTTTACAACCCTTAGAAAAAGGTACCCTGATTTAAACAACCAAGACGACTGGGAATCCTTTTAGATAGCACACATAATATAAAAAATAACTTGGTAGTTGGCGTGAATCAGGCTGTCACCTCCAGATTTCATATATAGACTATATAAGATAGTGAATCAAGCCTCACGTTGTAGATGAGGTAGAATTAGATTTAATATAATGTCCAACCAAAAGAAAGATTGAGATTCAATGGAGAGGGATGGCTAGCAAGGAGAAGTAGAAACTTCATTGTGCCCAAATTAACTCTCTTAAAGAATGATGAGATATTGCCTTGCTTGGAATCTGTCACTTTCCCCGCTTTCTTTTGGTCTCCTTCTTTACTTCCCAGATAAGGAGTAGCGCTACCTACTGCAACAGACTTCTTGGCTACAAGAGGCCTGCATTGAATGATGAAACTGTAAGGAATGCGGTTGCTAGGCTCTAGATTGCTTACAATCTAAAATAAGCATAATGGAATCAAATAAAATTACAAAGCCTTCAGTCAAGTACACTGGCCAGAAATAGGCAAAATAGATTGTTAAAAGCACTCCATAGTTGTAAAGCCCAAATGAATGCAGCAGTTCATTCAACTAAGAAGCAAAAATTAACATGTCAGAAGTTGGGAGAGGATTTATACCAGTTTCAGAAAGCAAAATTTCATTCTTAGTTGGAGAGGACTTTTAACTGTTTCTGCTTTTGCTGATGACTTTTGGATCAATACTTGGCAACTGTTTGGCAGGATAGGGTGATGCTAAATTGATGGCATTTTCATATTTGTCTACACCCAATGAATCCAAAACCACCATCCATTCTTGTTGGCTTCACCTTTAGAATCTTTACTAAAATTAAGATCATCAGCTGGTGCTCAACTGGATTTCAACTTTGCAGAAGCACAATCGCATTAGTTTGCTAATGAACCTACACCCCCAAAAGAGCAAAATAATTAGTTAAGGAATGTCCAATAAATTCTGATAGCAGCCATAAATGTAATTCAAAATACCACCATAGAATTTTCTTTATTAGCAAATAACAATATATGAGAAGATAAGCACTTCAAGAGGCGAAAAACTTGAAAGAAAGTTGTGATCTCCAAAAGAAAAATGTTCTGCTAGAAGATAGCCAGAGGCAGAATCAACTTCCAAATTCTCAAAAAATCTAAACTTAAATAACCAGAAAAGGCCTACCCATTATCTCTTAAAGAATTTTCAATATTTGAGGTTTGCTACTCTAGGAAAACTCTTGAAGCCTGGAAAAATTTAGCATTCCAGAGTGCAGTTCACAATACTTTGCAATGCATCCTTGAACACTGTACACCTAAACTGAGCTATTGCCATCAAATTCTTGCTTAGCTTCTGCAAGAAATTCAGGGAAGAAATTATCACATTACTGCTTTGCTATAGAATTCAAAAAATTCCATTTATGATAGCAAGAGAATTCATCAACAATCATGAGTTTGTCTCCATTCTTGTGGGTTGTGAATGTGAACTTCAACTACATTCTTCGAGAGGAAATATGTTCACCTCTTTTCAACATTTCATGAATCCAAAAGGTTGCAACTCAGTTGCTTGTAGGAAACCTGAAAATGATACTAATTATATCGAAAATTTATCTTGTACGAACCTTTTAGCTTAAGAACATGAAAAGCATATTATATTACTATTGGAGGTGAATAATATTAATTTTGAAGAGTCAAAGTACAAATAGAGATAGAAAATGAAGACAGCAAAATTGACACTTACCACTTGGAGTTCATCAAGGACTAGAGCCTGGATCTCTTCTAGCCAATTGCCTACCAATTGTGCTAAAATCTGCATTTTGAAGGGCCTCAATTTCAGCCATACAAACCCAAAAATCAATTTATCTATAATGAAAAAAAGTACAAAGCCCTAATGAAAATTAAATAAAATTCTTAGTCAAAAAACTTACTACTTAGGGTT